TTTTTTTTTTTTGTGAGTGACCTTTGAATTTTAACAAGCTCAATTCCTTAAAATTTCCAGTCAATCTAATAGCTCCAAGAATGTTATGATATCAAACCCATACATTTGTACAACATCGTCCAGTCATCAGTATTTCTCATTATGGATCATAGTTCATAATAATCTTTCCATGCATGATTTTTACCACTAACTCCTTTTTTTTGCGCTTCTCTACTGTAAGGTTTACACTGGCATCCTCGGACATTACTATACATACCATTCAAAAGCAACCGCCAATAAGGCTAGTGATATTAACCAAATGTTGTGACGCACTGGCGAATCACACAAATAAATGTGTCATACAAGCAGTATACGGATAAGAGTTTTGAGTGTCAATCCCACTAGCAACGAGCTAAATTACAAAGTAAAAAAAGTTCTAGCCTACTAAAATCAAACCTAGCTTGAATGTTCAAATGTTGATGTTAATGTAAAAATGTCTATCTTAATTTTTCAAAGTAGAATTCCTAAATTAAAGGTTTGAGGTCACTAGCAAAAGTAGTTTCTCCTCTGATTATGATCCTAAATACCTAGAGTTTAAGATTCAGTTGGTGATTATCAAGAGCGAAATTCTTCCCTAACCCCTTCCAATGTCAATAATAAAGTTAGGATCATCAACCAATTCTCTAAATCTAGTGAAATTCCCACTTAACAAGTATCTCCAAAAAGTCTACGAGCAATATTCTTATTCTCCTAGTTAGTGAATTTTATCCTCATTGTTCCGCTATGAATTCCTCTAAATTACGAAGCTCACAGCATATTTTAATACTTCATTTGGCTGGATTGAAGGTAAATTATGATAGTAGGGATAGAATTTCACAGTTTAAAACAAATAAAATTTAATCTCACAAACTCTAGAATTTATTCACCACATCAGGAAAGAAAAAGGTTTAGTTCCTACTCATGCTTGAAAATAACAATAAATACATATTCATTTATCAAAGTAATGAAAGGTGCAGTAAGTATTATGAGTGCACAAAAGAATTAGGAAAAACAATCCAGATTATACCCTTTTACAATAATGAAAATGATGCAATTGTGCTCATCTACTATCCTCACTTATGCCCCCGACAATCTCCAATCCCTTCTTTCTCCCTCTCCAATTTCATCGCACACCCATAGGAAAAAGAAAATGAAGAAAATAACTCTAGAGACAATGGTGCAAGATTGCCCTCCTGTTTGTCTTTCTTCTCCTCTTATATCCCTCACTCATCCACTGATATTTCCCTCGATCCATCGGCTATTGCTGACCAACTGGATGAAGCCTTAGATCGCCACATAAGCTGAACTGTTGTAACTGTCTTCAACTTTGGAGTTACGAGGTGTAGCACATAAGCCTTGAGCACTCGGAATGAAGCAGAGCACAAAATAGGTAGGAGGTGCGCAAGCGCTCTCCTGTTTTGTGCCTTGGCACCTGAAATGGATGAGGGGCACCTATGCTAGCACTGAAGCTCTAGGCTCTTAGGACATGTGTATATGGAGGGGAAGAGGAGCTCCCTTGCGCCTTTTGCTTAGCGTAGGAGCACCAAGCGCTTAGTCTTAGAATTGTAATTGAGAGGGAGAGGCACCTTTGCACCCCTGTGCATAAATTATATTGGAAATTTAAATAATTATTTCACAAAATTCACACATATCAACTATTAATACAATGAGGATACTACAACATCCATCCCCTTATATTCTTACATGCATATTGCAATAAGTTAAGCTAAGTATTTTTTTCATACTAACAGTCCATTGAACATGTGGAACTTAGGATCAAAATACTACTTCAGAAATATTATTGAATAATACTTGGTTGGATTTTGTAAATCCTTGCATATCAACTTCTTTTTGTTCCAAAACTATGATTATTTTGAGCTTCTTATTGGTAAAGTTTAAACCAATTATTGTTAATGCTTTAGGTTACTTTTCTCCCAATTTCAAACTTTAGGGGTGGGTTGCTTGTATGCAAATTATAACTATGGGTCCCTTTCAGACAAAAAAATGATGTTGATTAATTCAGATCATGGTTCATTATAGCATTGAATTATGGGACATACTTTGAACACTCTTCAATATGTGCCCTTAATGCTTGGATTTTTATTGATATTCATAGATGATTTGTTATGTTCCTCGATGCGATCATGTTTATTTGACCAGCTCTCCTCCAAATTTGGTATTCCTGTTAGAGGACGGGGATGTCGACCACTGCGTTAGAGAATGATCTTATTGGATGTGTCTTCATCATGTTTTTCATTATTTTTTGGGTTGCCCCCTCCACAACTCCTATTGAATTCACCTGGGAAGCTTAGAAATGAACTTCACTATTTGACTCCATTTGTTGGGATGCGGTCCACTCTTTGAGCCACAATTATGCACTATGAAAAGATGCACCATGAGTAGAAACCCTAATCTTCGACAGAATCCTTGTCATTAATCTCATTTGGTCTATATGCACCAGCACAATTATCATCAATTCCATTGATGACACTTTTGACAGTGGTCGTATGACCTCAAGAAAGCCCTTCCATGCCATTCTACTCAATCATCTCTTTCAAAATATTGAGAATCCCTTAGATTTATTCACCATCATCAGGGACATATTTTGAACTACCAAATCTAGTTTCTACTCCTTTAATGCATTATGACTACAAAGAAAAAACACCTATGTTAGAAATCATAGGGAGAAGTTTCAGTTTAAATGAAGGTCACTAATGGAGGAAATGAGGTGAGGGAGAACTTTGAAAATATGACACACAAATAAACATATATTTATAGAGTTTAGAATGGGAGAAAGTGCAAAACCCTTGACTTTTTGCCTTATTATAGCCATCCATGTGTCAATTGCAGAGGAAACAACAAATAGTTTGTTTAAAGTGCTAGATTAATATGAGAAAAAGGTATGGAGGCTTTTTGTCGAGCAGTGCTAGAGTTTCTACTTAGCAGTTACATTCTCCAACCTTCTTTCTTTCTTTTACTCTCATCCGGTTTCTAACCAAGGCATGTAATGCCCAAGTTTTATACTTTGTCATTATTACTAGTGAGCTAAGAGGCTATTTCTTCTCAACCTTAGGGCTTCGACAAAGATTCTCCCTATCGCCTTACCTCTTCACATTTGTTATGAATTCTCTAGACTGATGGATGTGCACTGCAACAATTCTTTTTATATTGTCATTATTATTTATGTATTTCACACCTTATGTGTATTGATGGCTTGCTGTTTTTCGGTTCTACCAATCAAATTCTGTCAATTACTTATCGTCCTCTAAATGCTTTCAACTAAGCCACCATCTTACTACAAAACCCAATAAATCTGGCATTTATTTCTCAAAATCTATGAAAGAGCACACCAAACAATAAATTGTATTATACTTGGATTCTAACATAGGCCTCTTCCTTAGGATTACCTTGGCATTTCTATAAACTCCTTTAAACTAAAAACTTTTGGTTGCCCTAAAATTTTGGAGTGATTGCAATGTCGGATCCTCGGAAATTGGAAACAAACATTATTTACCTTCTATGGCATATTCCAATTAGTCAAGATCACCATTTGAAAATATCTTCATTACTGGCTCCGCGCGACCACTATCTCTAAAGGCTTAAGGAGACACATCATCTATAATTAAGAAACTCGTCCTTCACCGCAATGGGATTGTTAAGAAATTACATGCAATCGCTTGAAGTACTACAACTAAGGCATTGAATTGTGGGAACTTGGTTCATCCAAAATTAGACACCCTTAATCTGATGTGCAAATCTAAACTCATATGGAGATATTATAACTCCAAATCATCTATTTTTTCTTTAATCTATTAACAGTTGTGGCACTATCTGTATAAAGATGATCATTAAATCATTCCATTTTGGAAGGTCTTAATACAAATGGTAACTAGAATAAGAAAAAATGTCTCTTTTTAAGGTTACTGAGCACAACAAACTACCCTTGTTCTTTGATGCTTTCTTGGATGGCTCATCCCTTTATAAACTGTTAGAGAATTATGATTTTTCTTGGTTCTTTTGTTCTCAAGATACTAGAATTTGTGATGTTATTTCTAAAAAAAAGTAGCAACTGCCTTGATATTTGTATTCAAAAGATTACTAAAATTAACATATGGGATACTTCTCTTAAATGTAATTGGAAAGGAAAGAATTAAAACTCTCATAGAGAGGCCCTCTCTTTTGCTTATGTGGAGCATTCTAAGATTGACTGGAAGAGATTTCTATGGTTAAAAATTTTACTCTTTTAAATTTGTTATTAGTGCTTGAAAGATTCTTATTAGTGATTTAAATACAAAAGATGCTTTGCTCTTCAAAATAGTGAGCTTAATGATGACACCCATTGTAGCTTTTGCAACTATTCTATCGAGAAACACACATTTATTTTTTGAATGCACATTTTTATCATCTTTATTCAAATCTTATACTCTTGATTGTAATTTTTTTTCACTTGGGATGCGGGTACAACCTCTATGAAGTATTGGCTCATGCTAAGACTTTAACTACAAAACTGTCGAAAGATTTTATTTGCTCGAAGTTTAGGTTATAAGCGGTTATTTGTCTGTTAAAAAAAATAATAGAATTTTTATGAGCAATAATTCATCCTTGAAAAAGATTCATTTTACAATCAAACAAAAATGCAAAAATGGAAGAGCAATACTAAATACCGGCATGCATCTCTAGCTGATACTTCAGACAAATTTAATGCATTTTATGACTCATTGTGCGTATATATCTACAGCTAAGATGTTTTCAGTCCCATTCAGTTTTCTATGAGCATGTGCCACCATTAAATTTTGCTTTCTTGGCCGGAAAAACTTCTCAAGACATATTTTGTACTATTGTTGGGTTTTAGTTTGCTCAGTGCATCCCTTTGTGATTTTCATCTTCTGCAATCAATAAAAAAAAACGATGCAGCTTAAACGTTTTTTACTTTCACGGTTAAATTTCGACTGAATACAGCATCCATTTGCTCTCTTTTGCAGGGCATATTTGAGTTACTCTCCTTATCAGGATCATTCATGCCAAATGAAAATGGCGGAACAAAGAGCCGTTCTGGTGGGATGAGTGTCTCATTGGCAAGCCCTGATGGACGTGTTCTTGGAGGAGGGGTTGCTGGTCTTTTGGTTGCTGCTAGTCCTGTTCAGGTACAACCATTTTCCTCAAGCAAATTTGTTAAATCCAGATTTACAGGATTTACTAAATCCTATTCAAGATAAATCCCATGTATTTACATGTTTAACACATAAATTTCCCGCTCTACGTTTATACCGCCCAAATTTTTCATATCACATAAAAAATATCACTTTTTTAACTTTTCATGCATAAGGTCGTAGTGGGCAGCTTCTTGCCTGGCTACCAACTGGAGCAGAAAACAAAGAAACCAAAACAGGAGACATCAGTCGCCATGCCGGCAGACACAGTTAGAATGTCCAACATGGAGATGGAAGATACTCACACCAGCGGCGGACAATCACAGCAGTTTGCTTCTGCACCAAAACCAAACCTTACTACCTCATCTTCCCTTAAAGGAGAGAACTGGTCTGCTTCTCTTCATTCTTCAGTATTTGACACTAGAAACTCTGCTACTGATATTAACGTATCACTACCTGGAGAATGAGATGTTTACTGGAATCAAATTCTTTTTAGAGCGATGTGTCTTATTGACAGGGAACCTGCCTCTTAACGTGCTCCGCAGCTAATTAATCTCAAACTTCCAAGTTCAGCTCCTTCGGTTTGCCATTAGCTTTATCGAACAGCTTAATTGATTTGTGACATGAGTGCTTTAAATTTATCTTCTTCTTTTTTTTCCCGAAGATTTTGTTGGAATTTATTGTAGTTAATGGTTTCCATTCCAGTTTTTCTTGAACTCAATTGATTTTAGTTTTCTTATTACTTGATTTTCATGAAATGGAACTTTCAAATTACTAGCCGTTGGAACTTTTGGTTCTTGTACTTTATGAGATGTTGTAGCAAGTACTTCCTGAACAATGAAGCTGTAAAGTGAAAAACCGGTCCAGGTGACTGCTCATAACCTTTGTTGCTTAAAGAACACACTTAAAAATGAAAATTTTGGATTAATGTGCATTTCATTGAATATTTAACACTCAAATTATGTATTTACTCATTACAATTAAAATTTTATATGGTCTTATAAAGCATCAGTCTGTTAACTCCAACTATAGGTCTGTTTGATAGAATTATTAAATATTATATTAAAAAAAATTATACATGAGTGCGCCATTAAGTCTCATAATGATTGGTGTTACTAAAAATTATTCTAAATAGCAACGTTTCTTTGAACATAATTGAAAGCATGTTATGTAAACATTATAGTTGTCATAACATTATAGTTGTTTAAACATTGAAGTGGTTGCGCAATTACACCAAAAAGACCCCTCCTTAAAATTTCAATGTTATGTCTATATCTAACAGATGTGTATTGATTAGTTACTGTTATTTGATAGTTTTAATTGTAAAACTTGATGTAGTTTGAGTCCGAACACCAAAAGCAATATTATTTCCTTATCGTGAGACAAAATTTGATGGTTAACTTGTGCATTAATTTAAAAAGATTTCAGGGTTGTAATTGAAAGTCCTTATCATATGATGAGTGCTATTTATGCAAATATGCAATTTTGTATATTATATAAATTAAAAATGAACTGCAAAATCTCAATAAAAAAAATTTAGCCCCAATTATTTAAAAAAAATTTCTGTGGGTTTTTGCTAGCTTCATCCATAAAAATTTTAAAACTTATTTTTAAGATCAAAGTAAAATAGCATCCATACTAAATTTATAGTTCTACACTCACAATTCAAAACAGAAGAAAACTTCTTGAAAAAACAAAACTGCCTTCAAAATAGCACTCTGATGCGCATTGTGCCCAAGAATGTTATATAAAGCTATATTTAGTTTTGAGCATGTTCATATCATCATCAACAATATGAAAGCTAACGCCCTTGCTAGAAGTCTTTAAGGACTTGTTTGAATGAAGTTCCTTTAAAAGTCACTGTCTGTGGAATGGGCATTAACATTTGCGGTCTAAAACAGTGAAAAAACTGTCATTCTGTTGAGACAGCTTTGGGAGATGTTGTTTTACCAAACAAAAGCAAATCCACACCTTGGTGTTCACTGCAATAAAATGGAGCTTCACTGTCTTCTCAAACTGAAACCTAAACTAAAGCCAAATTCAGACTGGTAGCCCTATATTTTTTTATCAAAATAACGCGAGAGCCGCTTAAACATGTATGCTCTTTAACTTGAACCTATTGTTCTCCTCATCTTCACTACGAATATCATTCTTTCTTCCTATTAAGCCACGCCGCAAACATAACATGTATTTACATATCTAACACCCATATTTTAATTGTTAAATTTATGCCACCCAATTTATGCATGTAAAGATGTGTTTCACCTTTCAAAATTTAAAATAGTAGTTTTTTTTTTCTGGGATATGAAATATTTGGGTGGCATAAATGTTGAAATGTAAAATTTAAGTTTTACAGGTGCAAATTCAAAAGAATTGGATGGTATATGATTTTCTACTATAATTTATTAGGAAAAAGTCTCACCTAACTTAAATTATGGAGGCATCAACTTGAAGAGTGAGAATGATGTGATTGCCTGTAAAGTTGTATGGGCAAAAGAGAGGCTTTTGGTGTTGTTTAGAAACTGGTGGTGCTAGATTTTGAAGGGATTATGGATGGAAGTTGAGACATGAAAGTATGGTAGATTATGAGAGAGCTTAAATATGGGTTCCTTGTTGGTGCTATGCTAGGGTTTGAAATAATTAGGTGTGGTTTTAAGCTTTATTGAGAGTGTGGCAATTTGTTTCGAAAGAATTGCAAGAGTTTGGATTAAATGGTGGGAAGAAAGAAGTGATTAGGGATAAGGTTAGGTCGACTATGGGAGTGCTAGTTTGGCTAAGGGTTGTGTTAAGGGGTTTGGCCAAGAAAGAGACAAAGGAGAAAGAGCATTCTTTTTATACTAATTATCAGCCCAATATTAATCAGGTTGGTCAAATTCAATTAAACGTTGATGATCAAATTTCTTCTACGAGTTGGAATAGCTCCAGTGACGTACAAGATTAGAAAGGGTCGTCTTAGATGGTTTGGTTATATTAAACGTCGACTATCTGAATGACATGTCAGAAGAGTAGATGTATTAAATTTGACTTACGTCAAGAGAGTTAGAGATAAACCTAAAAAGGCTTGGGCATGTTGTATAAAAATTATCTTAATTTATTAAAATTAAATGAAAATAGAAAACTCAATAGGACACAATAGAGAAAAAGGATTCATATAGCCAACTCCATTTAGTGGGACAAAAGTTTCTTGTTGTTGTTATTGTTGTTGCATTAAGCTAACCCTTCACATGCTACTGTAAAAAATTTCAAATGTAGAAGCTACCATTATCAACACTACTATTGTTGCTGATAACTTTATTATTTTCTCTATTGAAAGATGACATAATCAAATTCTAATGGTGGCTCCTCCTAGTATTAAGCATTTAAATGTTGTTGTCAGTTACAAACTCTCCTCAAACATGGAATTACCCATCATTTTATTGTTCAATTGATACAACTTTAGGGCTCCTAAAAGGTGCTTGGGATACAAATTTAGAGTCGAAGTGGTTGTGGAATAATAGAGGAATAAAATATGTGTGGTCAACGATGATTGAAGGTGGATAAACGATGAAATATGCTATTAAACAACATATTTGAATTCTTTAATGGTTGACTTACTGAAAATAATGCGGACAACGAAAAGACATGGTACTGGTTATGAGGAGTTTCATCTTTTATTCTTGAACAAGATATACACACCACTTACAAAAGAAAGATGATTCAACACTCCTAAAACAAGAAATCAAATATTATAATCTCTACAATACTCAAAACTAAGTACAAAGTCTCTCAAATAAAAAAAAAATAACACAAATAATTTTCTAATAGAAAATAACCCAAATTAGGAAAAGAAAAGAAAAAAAAGTAAGTCAAGATAGGAAAGATTCCCATATAAATTTCGAACCGAACAAAATTGCCTATTTGATCTTCCCAACAATCATGGAACTCCAGCTTCGATGGAATCGGGCATATCCAGTGATCGGGAGTCACGGGATCTCCGATCCTGGGAATTTGGCGAATGCTCGCACATCATTCTCTCAGGGTAAAAGATGTTTTAACTTCTTCATTGAAAGTTTCTAAAAGTGATCTATCATCATCATAATGAAGCCATTGCATGGTTGCGATTATGGAAGCACCAATACAAAATCTAAGCTCTTGTCCACCCAAAACAACTCTGAAACACATACGTCTTTCCAAAGTCTATCCTGATACAATAAATAACCTTTTTTTTTGCATAATCAGAGCTGAAGTTGCATTTGGGCTAATATTCTAACGAATGAAATCTCTAACCATCAAGTGTGTAACATATTTTGCAAATTTTCATACTCTAATGGTCACATCCCATAGGCAAGTTGGTTTAATAGAAAAATCATGAAATGAAATATAAGATATGTTGAATCTCTCTAAGTGGTAGCCATTCAAAAGGTAAAATGTTCGGGCATTTAGTAACTCTCTCGACATATGTTACCTCTTTTCTGGTATCGATTCTTTGGATTCACTACCTTCTAGAACAACCAATACTAATCCCGTGGGAGTCTCTCTCAAGAGCTCAGCTTAAATCACTAGCATTTCTCCCCGATCCGTTGCAATTTGATACTCTTCTTTGGCATCTTCATTCTTTCAAATGTCACTATCCATTTCCTGAACTTTTTTTGCTCAGTGAAAGATAGCTTGTTTGTTGCACTAAGTGTACTTTTGTTGCATGATCCCGAGATTGAACTATGTCTGTAAAGTGTGGATCTAATACTGTTGTGTTGTCCCTCCACCTTTAGGACAAGGGTTGGGGCATCCCATAAGTTCAATAGGAATTTAACTGTACCATGTTGTCATAAATGATCTCAATCATCCCTGATACTGAGTTATGGTGTTCTCCAAGGGATCTACTAGCCAACAATAGCTGCTCAAACTAAACTATATACTCTTTTTTTGTGAAAAAATGACAACAATAAAGTGAAAAAATGGAACGCAAAATTCAAAAAACAGAAAAAAAAACACACAGAGATTTAAGTGGTTCGGCAAATTGACTACGCCCATGGAGCTGCACGGGATTTTATTACTTTGAAGATTACACTCGTTGATCGCTTCAACAATTACAAGAAAAAATTATATCTCTCTACCTCTTTCTCTCACCTCTCTCTAACTGAGATCCACTAAAGAAAGAACTGTGATTTTCTTCTTCTGTCCCCGTAAGCAAGAAAAAATTAATCCATACATGCAACGCATGGAGGTCTGCATGCGATAGCCAATTAGAAAATGTCACGTGGAATCCGGCCCCACTATTGCAAAATATGTTAAAAACTCTATTATATTACGCCCGACCCAGCTCGAATCCCGCCCATGCACATAAAAAAGCACACTTTTATCATTTTCGTTTCCCTCCAATTGGAAAAAAGTTGTATTTTGTCTCCTTTAGGTATAGGGATTCGAGATATTCTCATTTCGTTGTCTTTCTAAGATCCATTCGTATTCGGTGGACCAGGTTTGATGGAAGCATTTCTTGACGAGGAAATATTGTTGGAATCTTAAAATACTTGCGAGAAACATGAGAATGAGCTGAAATCTCAAAATATTTTTGAGAATCATAAGAATGAACTGAGTTTAGATGCGATAGAAGGAATTCGGCAGGTAGGTTATACTTGCTTGACTGCAGATTTAGGTTTTAAGAAATATTTGTCTTGTTAATGAAGCTTGTTCTATTTTTATCT